ACACACACACACACACACACACACACACACACAGAGAGAGAGAGAGAGAGAGAGAGAGAGAGAGAGAGAGAGAGAGAGAGAGAGAGAGAGATTGTCATAGTTGTGCGCTGCGAAAGGCTGGGTAGCATGAAAAACTTGGGTTTACCTCTTCGAGTATGCAATGCGAATCTATGGATTTCATTAAGGAATGTGCGTGTAGAGGACTTCGATGTGTGTGGCAATGGTTGCTCACGTACAAGCGCTTTTCTTATCTTCTGTGTGGGATTCTCGTGCCGACTACAGGCGAATGGCCATCTCAGTGTCGTGCACATCTTGTCACGTATGGTGCCCATCACGCCATGTCTCAAATCGTAGATGCGTTAACATCGTCGACACCTCAAAAGACAAACGAAAAACTAGCAAAAAGAAAAAAGAAAAAAAAACATAACAAAAAGGAAGATAGCGACGTTGTTGTTGAAAGGACCGAAATGTCACGAGATGAACTTGTTTTTTTATTTATTGACATAATAAACATGCAATTCCTGTGTGGAACATAAACGCATCGACGATAGACATTACCAAATTTAAGCAAGCACAGACGAGATGCATGACATAAGTTCCATACCGAAGACAATAAAATGAACCCGTCGTAAAAAGGAAAACAGTCGGATGCAAGAAGACGACCTCACACACATGTCCAAACAAAAACACACATTCTTTTAAGTACCAAAGAGATTCAGCGCTTCAACAAGCACTCGTGCAGAGCAACCAAATTTTTTAAGCACGTGCAAACAACCCCGCACGCGAACCTCCACACCACACCGGACTCCCGCCCGCCTACCTCCCCAACCCACCATGCCAAACTTATGCGCTGCCTTAACCACCGCCACCGGCCACCACCCCTGACACTCCCGCACCCCACACCCCGTAATCGCCGGAAACGCGGTGAAAACAAAGCTATGCTGAAACCAGTAAAGAGAAGACGAGACTACAACGCGAGGAACAACCACAGTCCTCATCACCACAAGCATCCACCTCGATGATCAGCGAATGAAGCAACCTCGCTACCGTCGTCCACAATGACGAAGACGGCCAAACAAGTCGTCCGCGATGGAAAAAACGTTGAACACACGGCGATGGACGATGGTATACCATCCGCCGTGAAAACCAACGACGAGAACACTCTGGATCGACGACGGCGGGACACAACATCAACGCAGTCTTCATCACGACAAACAGCTAGGTGGTATTGCGGATCACATGTGCTTCATTTGCTCTGCTAGAGCGTCTTGGAGCGCAATCGCCTCGTTCGTGGAAGTGGAATTGTTGGCTGGCCGCGGGGGAAGATGAATCCCCAGATCCAGTCAGCGCCACACCCCGTTCTCGTCGGTCTCCCATAGCAGATTCTCGTCGAACTCGATACCAGCATCCAGGAGAATGTTGTGTAGATTCTGTAGAATGCAGACAATCGTGAACTGCTGCAGTAGAGTGTCTAGGTTGGTCTTGTGCGTCCGTAGGAAGAGCGTCCACATCCCCGTCAACCGCCCGAACGTCCTCTCGACAACCCCTCTTGCGACCTTCTGCTTCGTGTCGAACCTTTCCTCGACGGGGTGCTGATTGATTCCTCTGTATGACACCACTACCCATTCAGAAGGAGGGTACCCGTTGTCGCCCAAGATGTATCTGTTCGTCCTCAACCCACCCGACAACGTGACAGGCGGCCCATGAAACAGCGTTCCCTCTTTCGGGCGCCGCGACGGACTAGACAGTTGGATCACCCCGATGTCATGGCAGCTCCCAGGATACCCAGCGAGCACATCTATAACACGCAGATCCAGGTCGACCACAACCTGCATAACGATGGAGAAACGGTGTTTGCGGTCAAAGTAGTTTTCGTTGGAGGCGTTCGCCGGTTTGTCCACGTAGATGTGTGTGCAGTCGACCGTGATGTGACAGTTGGGAAAGCCCTTCTCCAAAAACGCCTGGAGCACGACGTGTTTCCATACCCCCATTGGCAAGGATATCTTGTCCGCGTAGACCTTCAATGTTGCGGATGTAACATCGTGCTCGGTGAGAAGTCCAGAAGCTCTCCCTATGCCGAAAGACGTCGTGTTGTTGTCGCTTCTCTCCTGTAGCCCACGTGTACAACGCGTACTCGACGATCTGCAACGGCTCCCTATAGAATGTGACCTGTCGTTCTAGATGTGGAGCACAGGCTTCGCTGATCTCCATGAAAACTCAGCTGGACATGCGGAGCTTTTCCCAGGAATAGTTGTCCGTTGCGTCATTGCACACCCTGTGTCACCCACAAATCCTTCTAAGTGCCTCCGGTTCTCCGCTTCATCCACCAACGTGGCATCACCCGAGGAAGTACACCACACCCGATTGCAGCACACAGCTCAACCACGGCCTCCGAAGTGGTAATGCAGTCTGGGCCGTCCACCACCCTCTGCACCAGAATCCTTTGCCGCCACCTCGAAAGCATCACCTTCATGCGCCCTGCCGCCCTCTGAACTTGGTTGCAGATCACCACGGCGATCGCAGCCGCCGTGACCACTGTCTTCTCCGTCGCCGACCACGCAGCACGATGACCCTCGCCGCAACCCACCATCATGCCCTTCGTATTGGAAAACGAACGCCCGCCACCGCCCACCTGCCACCACCTACGCGACCGCAACGACACGCCTGCAATTCACGCTCCGCCACCCCCACTGAGTGATGTCCTCCCCGATGGAAGCGTCCGTAGGTCACCGTTGACGTGCAGAACCGCCACTCGTGGACATGTCTCGACCGTACACGAGGATTGTCCCTCTTCAGTTTGCCGCGTCAACAAGACCGTAGACCATGGTCGTATGTCGCCACTGAAGTACGCAAGGCGATGGCAACCCAAACCAGTCACAGACCCTGCGCTGCGTGCACTGCCCCGCCGACGCCCCGCCTGTGCGCCGCCTCCCCGCCGTCCCACGATTTTGAATTTCGAATTTCAAACGGGGCGTTTCCCGTGTTCGCGACTTTCATGGCCAGGGCCCGTGACACGATGTCGTTGTACGCCTGCTGGACCACGACGCCTCCTTGCCGGACATCCCGAATCGGAGGTCGGACAACCCCCCCGCGGCCGTCTAGAATATCATGAAACGGGCTGCGGGAGGGTCCCGAGGATTCGTCCTCGGAGCGATTCTCTGAGGACAGGTGGAACGACGCCTCCAAAAACGGAAGAATTTTTTGAGGATTCGTCCTCGGAGCCCGAGGACGCACTGAGGAGTGTCTAACGACGCCCAAATACCTGGTCCAGCAATATCTCTTAGTACTACTACGACTGCAGCTACTGCTACCAATGCACAAGGTCATCATCGCCTTCCCTTTTTGCAAAAAAAAAATCAAAATTGTGTAGTATCTGTTCGGGTGGCGCGTTAGCGCTGCGTTACCACAGCGCTAATGCATCGCAGCGCTAACGCGTCACCCCAGTGGCGGCGTTTGGGTGCTGGCCGCTCCCTTATGGGGCCGACGAACCCTGTCTGCTTCAATTGCCAAAACTTGGTGGTGGCGTGACCATGGCGGAGCAGGGAAGAGCACTGGGGTGTTAGGGGGGCGCACCGAGGGAGCCGTGACAGGCTCCTGGTCATTGCTGGTCTCACTTGACTCTTGTCAGGATTCCTAGTTCGGTGAAGGAAGGAGAGCGTGATATGTGGTGGGCATCAGGGGGTGGGATCGGGATGCTGCGCCATACCTGATGAGACTGATCGGGGCTTATGCCCCTCGATCTCTGATATGAAAATTTTGCGGGGGTCTCCTGCCCTCGCACTGTTGTCAGGGTCAGCCCGCAACCGCGAGGAAGAGAGGAGCTACGGCAGATTGTCGGTGGACTTCTCATGTTCGCTGCACAGCGGGGGCCCATAGGGATTTCACCGAGAGAGAGAGAGAGAGAGAGAGAGAGAGAGAGAGAGAGAGAGAGAGAGAGGGGTGAGCGTGGCAGGAGCACATGTGGATTTGGTCGAGTAGGAGTGGCTACCTGTTCTGGCCCATGCTAGGGCCCGAGTGTGACCGCGCGCGCGCGCGCGCGCGCGCGAGAGAGAGAGAGAGAGAGAGAGAGAGAGAGAGAGAGAGAGAAAGAGAGAGAGGTGAGCGTGGCAGGAGCACATGTGGATTTGGTCGAGTAGGAGTGGCTACCTGTTGTGGCCCATGCTAGGGCCCGAGTGTGACCGCGCGCGCGCGCGCGCGCGCGCGAGAGAGAGAGAGAGAGAGAGAGAGAGAGAGAGAGAGTTGTACATAGTGGATTGCATTAGGTTTTGCTATAGACTACTGATTTAGGTTTTGCGATAGACTACTGATCTAGGTTTTGCAATCGATTGCTGTTGCTGGTTTGGTGATTTTTTTTCCGTCCTTAGCGATTTTGGTTGCTTGGTCTTGCCACCTTCGTAATGAGGGTTTTTGGTTGTGATGCCTGTTGTCTGAAATCTTCCTTGCTTTTGCTGATTCTGGGTGGTTAGTTTGCTTGTGAAGATCGTTGTAATTGCTCGTGCTCCGGGTTGCGCTTAGCATGGGATGGAACGGAAGAGAGAGTGCCGCTCCATAGAGACTCCATCATGGTGGGCCTTGGGGTTTCCTTGAGAGCGAGTAAGGATTAGTGGGAGCGGTTCTCCCTAAATCACGAGGAGGTTGGTGGGTTCGCAGGGTCGTCGACCCATGTCGCGCGGGAGGTAGGGTGCTACTGCTGAATAGTGAAGTGGCATTCATTTCATCTTAACAGTCTTATGTTCCGGGGTCGTCTGTAATCCTTGGGAGGGCACAGTGAGCACCGCTCCGCAGGGGCTTCGCCATGGTGGGCAGCGATGCATCCGTTAGGGAGTAGGTGCAGATTGTGGGAGAGGCTTACTCTATATCGCGAGGAGGTGGGTGGGTTTTGCGGGGCTTTCGGCCCCTGCCGCACGGGAGGTAGGGTAATCCCCTGGCTGGCAAAAACAGCATCGTGGTGGGAGTTGATGTTTTTGTGATGGAGAGTGGTGGGGAGGTGCTATCTGCTGTGAATCGCGAGGAGGTGGGTGGGTATTGCGGGGTCTTTGCCTGCAGTTGGGGGCCTGTGGGCACTGACCCCTGCCGTGCGGGTGGCAGGGCGGGTCGGCAGGGGCTGGTGGTAACTTCGGATGAGTAGGGGACATAACCTTGTAGTGCTGGCCGCTCCTTTTTCTCTACGGTTCTTTTTCGGCATGGGATTTGTGGTGTGTTGCGGTCCAGTTTCTGGGCTTGACCAGTGATGTCTCCCCTTAAACAGGCCCGCCACATTTTTCTAAAGGACGCCAGGCCCGATTCCTGGCACTGAAATATAAGGGACGCAGGGCCCGGTCCCGGCTGATTAAAAAAAAAAAAAACAATCATTTCAGAGGAAGACACAGATTTGCCAAAAAACAATCATTTCAGACGAAGACACCCCTGTACAAAAAAATAGCATTTCAGAGGAAGACACCTAGGGAGGCTGGGATGGGCTGGGATTTATGGGAGGGAGTCCTTGGTTGGGTGAGATTCACACCCGCAACCAGTGCAGGCCCTGCGGAGTGATCTCCAACTGTATGGCCCACAAGCTTCATCATGTCCCCGAATGCATAGTGTATCTACCTGAGGGAATACTCACACTACGACTTTTCAACTTTATTTATTATGGACCATGCTTGCAGTCAGATGCATGCAGGTCAGGCCCTAATTGCAGTCAGATGCACGCAGGTCAGGCCCTAATTGCAGTCAGATGCATTCTGAAAAATGCTAGCATGAGTATGCCCTGGGTGAGCCAATGCAGATGAAACCCGGCAATTATCCGTTGCAACCAATATGTTTACACTGGACCTGTCCCAATCACATCCCCTACAGCTCCCTCCATTGCCTCTGTATTCTTCTTGCTCTGCTGCAAAAAATGTAGTTGAAACTTGGTTTAGGCCCTTTGGGCTGGCACTTCACAGGCCCTTCCTGATCTCATAGACAAACTAAAAGAAAAACAAAAAATAAAAAACAACTTCCGTCCGAATGCCCCACTTCTGGAGGAGATAAGAGCAGACTCCTCCAGTGAGGTCCCAGTATGAAGGCTCCAATTCTATTGTTGGTGGGGAGCAGCACATGCTGGAAACCAGAGTCGAGGTCCGACTAGCAAAGAGGATCGGATCGAATGCCTGAAAGTGGATGTGTTTTATGCAGAGATGCAGAAAAGCAGTTCGATCTCGATTTCCTGCACGGCTCCTCAAACACGTCCAGATTCAGGCATTCGATCCCATCCTCTTTGCTAGTGGGACCATGCCCCAGGTTCTCCACCTCACACACGACCGGTCCGTCTCCTGCCCCCGACCGCACCCTTCCCCTGCACCGCACAACGCCCTGTAAACCCCTCTAACTTGTCATCGACATGCCGGAAACGGCAAACGACCGCTAGACGACAAAAGTTGTCACCGCATCTCTGCTGCGAAACGGACCCAGCGTCCCTGAATCCCAGTATTGAGATTATACAAGATGTTCAAAGGGACGCTGGACCCGGTTTCCAGCGGGTGCCGCTCCCCACCAATAGATGGAGCAGCCCGACAGATAAGCCCTCAATTCTGACGGTTCTCTCACCACCGCCGGGATAGAGGGCTTACGCAG